AGCGCTAAGCCACAAAAGGCCCATAAAAGCGCTGCAAGGTCGCAGTAGCCAGGGGTTTGCATGGGCAAAACCTTTTAAAAAAATTCCATTTAATAAGTTCCCCTTTTTTTGCATAGTGGTTTGACTTTTGTAAGGGGAAGTGAGACCAAATTTTGGACCCGTTCCCCAAAGGGGGGCTTCCCAGAAGAGAAAATATTTTGTAATTATTTACAAAAACCCGCAGTGAATTCAGGTGATTAAAAACCCCAAAATTAGGTTTCGAAAATAGCAAATTTGACCAAAAAATAAGAGATAAAATTCCCACGAAATAATCATTTAAATGTTGAGCCAAAGGGGCTAGAACCGGATTAAAATTTAAACAATTTACAAATTTATTAACTTTGAAAAACCACCATGCAAAAAAACACTTTAATCAACACTAAAAAATTAGGGGAGGTCACAAAATTCAACGCCTGACAAAGAGCAAAGTTCCCTTTACAGAGCAGTTTTGAAGGGGCCTTTGTGTTGTGAGGGGTTTTAGCTTGTGACCCAACGTTTAAAAAAAGGTGATTAACAGTGCATTACTTTTTTTAAAATCAAAAAATTTTTTATTTTTTTTTTTTTAAGGGGTTTTTTCTCTTTTCCCCCCTTTCCCCCTCACCTAATTTACATATGATGCAAAAAACCAGATATTTAAGGGGCCCCCAAGGAGAAATTTTGACACCTGCAAAGGGGGGGTCAAGCCCAAATGGGGGTTTTTAGAGTTCAACGCCAAAAAGGGGGCGAGTTAACGAAATTTATCAACTTTAAAATCTGTTTTTCCCCGAAAGATTCAAACCCCCCCTGGAGGGTGAAATGAAAAATTTTTCTTCCTCAAAAGCTTCAAATTAAAAACCCCTTAAAATGTCCAAACGTAATTTTAAAAAATTTTTTTAACAAAGAAAGTAGTAAAAAAAAAGAAAACTTTTTTTTAAAAATTTGAAAAAATGTAAAAAAAACTTTGAACAAATTTTTTTTTAAAAATTTTAAAAAATTTTAAAAAAAAAATTTGAAACAAAATTTGGGGCACTACCAAAGGAACATAGATTTTGCTTGGACAGTTTATGGGTTAAAAAAGAAAATGATGTAATTTTTTTAGCAATCAATTTTAAATCTTCCACAGTTTTTAGTTTTCCCTTTTAATGCTGTTATTTTTTCCCGACAACCCAAACCCAAAGGGCCAAGCGCACCTTGTATTGAAAAAATTCAAGCGCTAACTCAACAAAATTTACGGGTAAGATAAAACCACTTACATCATCCATTTTTTAAAACGAGAACTTTGGCGCCAGTAATGAAATTTTTCACCAAAAATATCTCGCTCGTTTTAGTTTTTCCCCAGCAAAAGGGGGTTTGGGGCAAACCCTTTCCTGGTGACAGCCACCTAACCCTTAAAAGGGGAAAAAACAATACACATGTTTCCCCAACCAAAAACAAACACATAATGAGGGTCCTGGAAAAAAAAAAGCCCGAACTTTAAATAAAATAAAAAGACTTCAAACCTGCATCAAATCTGCATTTCTCACGGAAAAACCTCTGAAAGCAAGATTTTCCCCGGGAAGGGGGACTGAAAAATCAGCACGAGCGGGTTTTCCTCTTTTACTCTAGCAGTGAAATCCTTAATGCCCCTGACATTTTTTTGGGCACCATCACCATAGAAAATAAAACACTGATTTTTACTGAAGGGCCCCCAACAAAAACTTATTTCAATTGTGGCGGTGTGTAAATGGGCCCGGGGAAAAAAGAAATTTTTCCCCTTTTATATCTTTTGGGGTTTTGATACCGTACGTAAGGGCCCGAAATTTGGGGCCAAAAATCCCTTTTCTGTAGACTCGTCCGGGTGGAGACCAAACCGTCCACCCCATTTTTTTAAAGGCCGCAATCCCCCTGGTCTTTTTAAAATACACAATAAATTAAAAATTCGGGTTTACAAAATTTTGTCATTTCAAAAGAGGGGGACGGCTCATTTTTTTTTTGCAGCTTCACCCTTTCCCCAAACTGCCTCACCAACTCACCGGGGTTTTTGGATCGCCCAAATTTCCCCAAACCAAAAGGGTGTTTGGGTTCTTTACCTTCCCTTCCCCCCTCCTCCAACTACGCGAGGTATGGAAAACAGGTGTTCTCCCCCTCACGGGGTAAACCCGTTGTGTTAGCTGCACAATTTAGCCCTACTATTTTTTAGTTCTTGTTCTTTTTCCCTTTTAAATATACTCCCAAACTCTGCTCACAATGCTTTTTCCCTTTTAAAGTTCCTTCTAAGCCATTTCTGCTTGAATGACTCGTTGCTCAAACCTTCCCCACACAATTTGTACTTTTAAGTATGCCACGTTGAGTGACGTGTGTGAAGCATATATTTAAGATATTCCTCCTTGTACTGCCTTATTCTCATAATTTCTAACTATGAAGTAACCATCCTAAAAAGAATACAGAAACAACTTCTTAATGCTAGTCATGAAATACCACCAGAATTAGTAGTATAGTTAATAATAATAATAATAATAATAATAATAATAATAATAATAATAATAATAGTGTAGTGTCCGACAGATTGTAATAAAGTTGGTAGAATTACCGACAATATGTAAAGTAAAAGGACACAAGTGCAACTAACGTGACATTTTATTGTGGCAACGTTTCGCTCTCCAGGAGCTTTATCAAGCCATTATGTTGCGGTGTCCGGACACCGCAACATAATGGCTTTATAAAGCTCCTGGAGAGCGAAACGTTGCCACAATAAAATGTGGAAGATTGACACACTTATGCAGCATATGGGAATCTTTATTCAGGAAACGTTTCGCCACACAGTGGTTTCATCAGTCCAAAAACAAAGAGGAAGGCGTAAGGAGAGGAGGAGCATGAGGTAATCAGTCCTCACTGGAGTCGATTGTGTTCAGTCCATCAATCTTGTAGATGGACTGAACACATCGACTCCAGGTTTGAGGGTACTGATTACCTCATGCTCCTCCTCTCCTTTACGCCTTCCTCTTTGTTTTGGACTGATGAAGCCACTGTGTGGCGAAACGTTTCCTGAATAAAGATTCCCATATGCTGCATAAGTGTCTCAATCTTCAACTTGTCGGTTTTTCAAACCATTCATCACACAATAAAATGTCACATTATTGCACTTTTATCCTTTTACTTTACAATAATAATAATAAATAATAAAAAAAAATAAAATAATAATAATAATGGCTTGTGACCCATTTCGGGGGGAACCCAGGTTCCCCCCCCAAACTTTCCCCCTCCACCTGCGTGTAGGAGGTAACAGAACTCTGAAAGGGGAGCAGAGACTCGCCCGAGTTGTGGCTTGGTCAAGACAGATTAGCAAATGTATGTCCCTTCATAATGAAACAGTGCATTTTGTTGAAAATTTATATTCAGATATACAACTTTACATGACTCGTCATGACAAATTCACACTCAATTGTTAGAAAAACAATACACTGTATTAAAATTAAGCAGGACACATCACAAGACGGTGTGAGTTGTGTGGTCAGTATAAAGGGGATGACGTGGGGCTTGTGAAGACTCGAGGCAAAGCAATCACAGGTTTACGTACGGACTCACTGGTGACTTGTACCTCGTCCTGAGCTAAACGGCCACATTGCCTCATCATGACGTTGCTTCCGATACATGTGTCACCCCCCATGGTCATCCACCCTCTCAATATTTACATCATTGGATATGTATGTCCCCCGCCTTTAGACCCCCCCTCCGCCTCGATTTCGATTTATACATACAATTTTTATATATATATTTAATATTTATATAATATATATATATATTATATTTTAATATATAAATATATAATATATATATATTATATATTATAAATATATTATATATAATTAATATATATATATTATATAATAATAATATAATATATATATATATATATATATATATATAATATTAAATATATAAAATAATATTTATATATATATATTATATATATATTATATATTTTATAATATATATAATATATATATATAATAATACATATATCATACACACACAACATAAAACGCTTAGATAGGAACAGAAAGGGTGGGGGGAGTATGGCTACATTAAAATGACTTACTTAAAACCCCAAGACCTGATTTAAATAACAATAAACTGGAGATTCTATGGTTTGAAGTCCCTGCTTCCCAAGCCCAAACCCATCTTAGTAGGAACTAGTTACCGCAGTCCCCCCAGGACCAGTTCTTAGAAGACTTTTCCGAGTATTGTCCGGACTTGAAAACAATTGCTAGACAATAATACTGGGCGACTTCAATATCTGTTTTCAGCAGCAAAATACCGGCTATGCAAAAGGTATAACCCAAATTCTAGGTTTAAATAGTTACACTCAAAAAATTAATACACCAACCCGGATCATACAGTTCTCAGCCACCCTAAATTGACCAAATATTTTGAAACCCGCGCTGAGAACATTACTCAGTCAGGGCGTCATTACCACAGTCTTAGTGATCATTTCATCATTTACTGCCCCAGGAAAATCACTAGGGATAGGATAGGCCTACACAGGACAATAAAAATGGGTCAATTTGGAAACTACAGTAAAAAAAACTGGTAAATGGGCTACACAATTGTGACTGGACAGAGATAACAAGTTGCATGGACGTAAACGATGCCTGGAAAAATTCAAACAATTTTTCACTACCATCCTTGATAATATTGCACCATTTTAAAGGTTAGGATTAAACGAAGAACTGAACCCTGGATGACTACTGAGATTTTAAAGATAATATGAAATTCAGAGACCAGCTGCTAAAAAGTTTTAAAAGCAAACAGGACAGGATAATTGCAGCCTAAATGAATTCCAAAGGGTGAGGAACAGAGACTTATAAAAGGAGCAAAGGCAAAGCACTATTGCTCAAAATTGAAGAGTAAAAGCATAACCCCAGAAAGCTCTGGCAACAACTAAAACAGTTCGGGTATAGCCATAAGCCAGTAGTTTGTCTAACATGTACTCACTATCGATAATGAGGGTACGCCACGAAACACTAAGGTGGCAAATTGCTTTAAATTCCTACTACACATCTGTTGGCATCAACACTGGTAAGTAAACTACCAGCTGCATCAAAAAACCTTTAACACAGACTCTGATAAGTTTCAAACATACTATACCAATAAAGGGGTAACCCCAAACAGTCGTCAACTAGTAAGTGTATCTCATGACTTTATTCAAAAAGAACTAAGCAGGTTAAACCCAACTAAGATCACGGGCCCTGATAACATCCCGTCTAAGTTCCTAAAAGATGGTGCTTCTGAACTGTCAATCCCTATTGCTTACATAATAAATCTATCAATCACCACTAATACCGTACCGGAGGGGTTTCAAGGAGGCCAGAGTTACTCTTATCTTCAAAAAAATAGTAGGTCTGATGTCAGCAACTATAGGCCTATTAGTACTCAGTATAATATCTAAAATTCTAGAGAGGGCGGTTGTACTCAAGTAGTTAAATACCTTAATGACAACAACATTCTCCATAGCTATAAATCGGCTTTAAAAGATCCTACTCAACCGACACCTCCCTAATTAATCTGATGGATTACCTGAGAACTGAAATGTCAAAGGGGAACCTCATAGGTATGGTAACCTTAGACCTGCAAAAGGCCTTCGTAACTGTCAACCACAATAATATTATGTAAGAAACTTCAAGCTATCGGTATAGGTTCTGTAGACTGGTTTAAGTCCTACCTTAGAAAACAGGAGACAAATAGTCAAAATCAACAAAACGGAATTAGAACCCCTGCCGATAACATGTGGATTTCCCCCAAAGGGTAGTTTTCTGGGTCCCTTATTATTATGTTATGTCAATGACATGCCTATCATTGTCAAGTGCAAACTCCTACTGTATGCAAACTCCACTGTAAATAGTTAGTAGCCAACAAACTATCATTACACCTCGGGAAAACTGAAGCCATTCTCTTTGGCACGAACATAAACTGAGAAGGGTAAAAAATTTAATGTCCAGTCAAATGGGAGCCCATCACTTGGTTTCATCAGAAAAATATCTGGGAATCCCCTTTGACCCATGCATGTCAGGAGAATTAAATAGGGAACAGTGTAGTAAAGAAAGCGAATGCCAGACTGAAGTTCCTGTATAGACAAGCACAGTGTCTACCTACTGAGGCTCGCAGGACCCTATGTCTAGCCCTTATACAATGCCATATGGTTTTAGGGCTTGCTCTTCATGGTACTCTGCCTTGAAAAAAAAACTAAAAGATAGACTGCAAATCACCCAGAACAAAATCGTAAGATTCATCCTGGGGCTGGGACCAAGAGAACATGTAGGCCAGGATGAATTACAGCAGTTGGATATGCTGAATGTTGAAGACAGAGTAAAACAACTGAAACTATATCATGTTTATAAAATTGCTCACAAACAGTGTCCAGAATATCTTGCTGTCAATTTTGTCAAGGTTGGGAGCCAAAGCAATCATAGTACTAGGGGGGGGGGAGAGCACAGTTTTGTAGTACCCACAGTCATTGGCCAGGCTTCAAACACCTTTTATTGTACAGCAATAAAGGAATGGAACAGACTACCCGCACATGTCAAAGCCAGTCATAGCATGAACCAGTTTAAGAAGAGTGGCAAAAGGTGTCTGATGAATGTAGCTACAGAAAGGGAGGGGAATGATTTTCTATTTTTTAGCTAACATGGCGTGTAAATTTTACCTTATTCCTAATAATGACCCTCGTATTATAGTCTTAATGACCCTCGTGTAGTAGATAGTCTTTTTAGCATGATAAGATGTTATCTTCATTATAGAATAATAAGAAAAATATTATAACCTTTATATTAAAATAATAAGTTAATGGGACCCCAATGGAAATAAGTCACTCTGTCTGACTTTTTTGGGGTTTTCCCAGTTCTCTACCCCTATGCTGCTATGTATGATAATTCTATGTAACTGTATTTGTGTATACCTGAAAAAACTTAGTTACTTTAAAACACACACACAACACCACACACACACACACACACACACACAACACACACACACACACACACACACACACACACACACACACCCCACACACACACAATATTTATGGTATTCATCTTTTTCAGAATCAACTTGAGTGTATGGTAACTTTTACTTATACATGACTTCTGGTTAAGTGTCTATTGTACCTTGTTTGTGGCCAGTTTTTCACTGCAACTTATTTACCACAGACTGACACATAAATTTACATTCCAACAACTGTACCATTCCGCACAGGTAAAAAGTACTTTATATTACAGTCATGGCTCTTATCCAGCACTACTGGTTCTGTGATACAATCTTAATTGGTTCTGAAGACATTTACACCTCGGTGGTATGGTACACACAAAACACAGTCAGCAATATTTATATTTAATCCTGTGCCTTTTTGACGCAGTTTTGGGTTTATTACGTTTCACGTGATTGCATTCATTTCTATCTTCGGTCGTTTATCCTGTATTGTTACTTACCTTCAAAGTGGGTACCTGACGCTGGTGAAGGACTCTTGATCAAAGGCACTGAAGTAACTCTCTCCTTCCTCAGATCACATCTGGGTGCTATATGACTCCTACGGGGTTAAGCGCTTCCCATGGAATATAATAATTATAAAATTACCCAATCCATCTCGATTTGGGTAATTGCAAACAAAGAAGTCAACCAGGAGGCCTGGTCTGGGACCTGTTTGTACGATTTGTTTTAAAGTTTTTGTATTTTGTTTTGACTTAGTGTTAAGTAGGATGGTTTCATTACTTTTTTTTTGATCAAAAAACGCTGAATGACCTTGTAGGTCAGAGCGCTTTGTAAAACTTATACTTCCTTCTTTTAAACCCTGACTCTCGGTGTTCTCGCAATGGTGCACTATTATATGCACTTATGGTATTCTGAGAACATGGCATTTCTGTGGCTGCTAAGAATGTTTAAGTTTTCCTAAGTTATCGAACTCACTTGACTTATTTAAAGCGTAGCTCAAATATTTGGGAGAAAAAACTTACTAAGATTCTTTGCAGTCGAGAGATAAAGTTTTGCCTTATATCTTATCAGTTCTCAGTTTTCAACTTACAAAATATACCTCGTGTTAGGACTGCGTCACTCTCACTGAAGTACTTAACTTATATTTATGGTATACAATTCCCGACAAATTAATAAGACCCCATGGCAACGTTTCGCTCTCCAGGGGTTTTGTCAAGCCGTTACAAACAAGACATGGACACAGAGAGTGTATATAGGCTTTAGAGCGAGCGTAAGACACGATATAATCGTTGTAAATAATACTAGAAGTAGTAGAAGTTGTAACACTTGTGGTACAGTAGTAGTTGTGTTGTGGTTTTGGTCTTATTAACTTGATTGGAATAGAAGTGTGTGAGATCGTCTTCTTTTATTTTATTCTTGTCCTCACAAGACTTTACATTACTTATGTTAATTTTTAATAATCTACTTTATAGGGAATTTGGTTTCCTGTAAAAATTGAAACTTTAAGGTGTTATTTACTTTGTGAATGAGGACGTCTAGGGAAGTGATGGGCATCATCATTGGATTTTTCCTAAGAGAATATCGAATTTGTAATCCGAGTTTCGCGACGAAGTGTACATAAACACACCAAACCTTCAGTGATCTACATTTCCTTCATCAATTCTCCACCACCAACATCACTCCCGACAAAGTTATAATCCTTCCCCAAAAGCCAGGTTGCATTGAACGTTTCTAAAGTACTCGCGCAAACTATCACTAGTCACCATCGCAGCCAGTAATTACACCTTGAACAAGTCAATGCAGGGTTTACACTATACCCGTGGAGGCTGTGACAGAATATACGTAGGTGAAACAACAAGGAACTTCGAAACACGTCTCAATGAACAAATGCATGTAAGAATGATAACTTGAACAGTGCCTTCGTACAAACACCAGAATTCCGCCAACCACTGATGAAAATTTAACAACACCCGACTAGTGATTATAGAACCTAATTTCCGCAGACGTAAATGCCTTGAATCATCATTAATCGCTATTTCTAATACATTAAGCAAAACAAAGGGCAGCTTCATTATTTCTCAAGGAATTTCATCAAAACAATAAATCCTGCCATCACATTGTTGCTACTGCTGATACTTATTATAAACCACGGGAAGTGCAAAACCGTAGGAATTATCAGCGCCTGTAGGGGGGGAGGAAGGTATTCAGACTGAATTCAGGGAACTGGAACACAGATCCAATTCCTTAGATCAAGAGCCTCTCACCAACGACAAGGAACCTCCCTTGAGGGGCATAGCAGGTAGAAATGTGTTGTTTATGTGGAATGTTTTCTGTTTGGGAATATACTATGTATAAATTAGCGATGGTTGCCTATCAACAAATACGTATTATGCTTGTCCGCTCTTTCAGTGCCCGTAAAATATAGTGTATGATAAGATACATGTGTAACACTAGTAACTTTACTGACGAAAACGTGACCCAGTGTAAAAAGCTTTCCAGTCGAATACAAGTAAATATAACACTGGCGACAGTAGTAGCAGTAGTTTTGAGGGGATCAGTCCCTCAGTCTTGTTTCCCTTCCTGTTACTATCTGGGTTTTTTGTTTTTAATTACATGTAGTTAATTACACACACTGAAGAGGGTGAACATGAGAGACGTTTATACGAGACTATCAGATGAAAGTCTCTGTGCAACTGATGCGTTGTTAAAAAGTTTGTAACAGTTGTATAATTATTTTTTCGAATATAAAATATTACAATAAATTATTATTTTGACATATACCTTTACCTTTTTATATTATTTTGTTTGGGGTTTTGCGAGTTGCCCTAATCTCGCAAACCGGCCCTGGTCAGGTTTGCCTGGTCAAACCAGGCTGTTACTGATGCTGGTGGCCCGCTGCCTCAAATATTCAAACACAACCTGGTAGATCTGGTCCCCGACTGAGTATTTTTGGGGTTTACTCTTGAAGACTTCTGGTAGAAATGGTTATTATATTATAATCACAGGGAAGCGCTAAACACAGGATTATGCACCGCATGTGGGGGGGGGGGATGGAAAGTATTCGGCTCAAATTTAGGGAACCGGGGCACAGATCC